ACAGAGATTTGTTACTGAAAATATAAAGTTTTATCATAAGAAACGTTTGATAACTATCTGAACATTATAAAGATTTTGCATGTGAAATTTGAAAAATTTCTGATTCACAAAACTATCTTTAATCTTAAAATGAAAATTACTTTGCATGTTGGATAAAAGGCATGAGAAAAACATTGCTTTACAAAAATTAATATTTTGTAATGTTTACTGATAAACTGCCAAATTTCGTTAACATACACCTACTAATTTAAAAATTATAACAAGCACAAAATGGTTAGGAGGTCAGTTCCATGGATGGAGCCCAGGGTGAACTCTTTACTTCATATGTAGTATAGTATAAAGTGATTAGTAGAACACAATACCCACACGTCCTGGAAACCGTGACTATAAAATTAAGTAACTTATCTAATAACTTTTAACCAGTTTATTGCACAAATGTGGTAAATTTTATTTAATTAAAAAAAAAAATATGAGAGGTGATACAACCCTATAAAATGCCACAGAAAATGGTCGAAATGTCTTACAAGACTATTTTTTAACCCAGACAAAAGTTCAAATTACGAAAAATAATATTATTTAAACTCTAGCATACCACCCAGTTTTGTGCTTCACACACAGTTCTGATTATGCACTCATTTGCAAACTGTTGATATTTCATAAATTACATGTGAAGAATTAATGTTTTCTATAACTTATTTTAAGGTTCGGTGTCTACAAGATTTTGGTGATTTTGAAACAGCAGATGGCACAAAGGTAGTCCTCACAAAAAATAGTGTAGTAAGTATTGATTACCAGATATTTGGAATCTTGAAACTAATAATTCACATTCAGTGCTTGTAATTTTTTTCTTTATTTACTCAGAAAAATATTGTATTAATGGTCTAAGAGTGACTTAAACTTGTCTTTATGTTGTGAAGTTGCAGTCTATAAATATAATGAATTTTTTTGCTTATTAGCTGTGTAAATGACAAGATCATTTTGTAATTGAATGTTTATTGTTTTCAGCATCTCATGCAGAGGTCTCAGTGTGAAAAATTAATCCACCAGGGAATCCTTGAACACATCACAATATAAAAGTCATGAAGTTGTTGTTTAAACTTTTTTTATTTTAAATAACTGTACATAATTAAGTGCTATCTTTGTTACACTGTACCCATTGTTAACAAATGCTGAATATATATATATATATCCCTAGATTTATATACACAGCTGAAATTAAGGATACAACTGTTATCACGCCATTGGAAGACTGTGTTTTCAAACTAATGCAGTATTAACCAAATTTAATTTTCACTCAATTGATATATTAATGCTCCAATACATTTGAATGAACTTTAAAATACTCAATTTAACTTAAAACTGGATTCAGAATAGGTATTTTGTTAGTCTGTATGAGTAGCATTTCTCACATTATCTAAATAAAGTAACTAGTGCTTTATTGTTCAAGGAATTTGGATGTGAATATTAATGACAAAAAAAATGTAAATAAATTGTGATCTTTTAAGAAATATGTCCAAGATTTTATTAAAGTTGATTTCACACACTATAAATTAAGATAATAGTCAGTTTCTAAAGTATTTGTTAAACACCTGATTACAGGCATATACTTAAAATAAAAATGATCTGAGGTCCAGTTTGTTTTTTATAAATCCTTGAAAATATTATTTCAAACATAGCTATCAATTATGTATCTACAAACAGTTAACTTATGGCAGGATCAACAAGAATCTTCCAAGAAAGTTAGTTTTTTTTT